TATATATATAGCTTGTGTCAGACATATCACTCAATAACTGTGGAGGGATATGTGGATTGTGTAAAACATATGTATGTATATTTGAATGCGTGTTGTGTATGACGTAGTATGGACAATAAATGAGGATAGCAGTCATAAGATAAAGAAAATCGATAAAGGGATAGGATGGATGCTGGTCTATGCTGCTATTAGGTTTAGAGCTTGTGATCTGTTGATACCGTCTCACTGATATGAACGCGAAAAGGATGGTGAAGAATATGAACTTGTGTGTGTGTTGCTGTATGTATCGCAGTCATTTGTTGAGTATATATGTCCATCAGTTACGTACGTTCGTAGGTTAAAAGTATATTGGTAAGATAGCTCTAAAGCGCTTTGTCGCGATTAGTTTTGTTATGTTACGTATTATATTTTGTTGCATTATATTATTTCATTGCAGTATATTTGACTGTGTTAAGTTTCTATAGATTGTGTTCATTATCGGTGATTGATTGGTGGATGATAATTCAACACCAACTTTAACTGAGTTCGAGATGTGGCCAACTGAAGCGGTTAGATGGAGCTTGAAGAAGTATGAGCAAAGAGAAATGAGAAAAGCTGGTTGAGGCAATCTTTAAGAGCTCTAGTTCTAACATTCAGTCGGACACTATTAGATATCAATCCATTCATCCATTGAATGCCTCTTCAGTTGACTGACAGATAGCGTGAATGAAAAATAACAAGACATTCGATGAAATGAACTGAAGAGAAATAGCTTTACCTTATCATTTAATCTTCTCATTTTAAGAAATAATGAGTTGTTGAGTGAGAAATGAAAGCGAAGTGTTGTGTTTTTTTTTGATGTGAGCCTGTTTGTGTTACTTTGTTGAACTTTGTTGTTCAGTTGAGTTCATTGTTTTTTCATTATTCTGAATGTGAGGTGGTATGTTGTAAATGGTTGAAATGGAATGAAGTTAAGAATCTTTTTAATAGTTCTTTCGTGAGCTCCATTCATCGCATTCAATCTGTTCTTATCCAGTCAGCACCTTCTTATCTTACATACACCACTTTACTCAATTGAACGTGATCACAATCCACATTCAGCAGTCGAATTCCCTACTTCAATATCTCAAATACTTAACATTTCATTCCAATTCTTCATTTTGTTTTATGCGTTCCTCACAGGTATCGTTTGTTTGGTGTTTGAACACCATAGAATATTTAAACTCAAAATTTTTAAAGAATAGTTTTTTTTAGGAAAAATTTTAGATAAATGTATTGTTTGCCTATCAAAAATTCATTGTTCTTTTCGTGGTTGAAGAATTGAGCACATTACTTTTACAGATCGCTATTATTACTGGCATTCAAGTACTTCAATCAGTTCTTAATGTGTTCCATAATACTGATGATATATTATGTTTGCAGTTCTTTCTAAGTTAAAATATTATGAATTCAATGAAACATTTATAATTATTGCTGATTGTTTATTTACTTGTGAATTAAATCTAGAGGGTGGAATTTTTAACTGTTAGCGTCGAGTTTTTGCTGTTGTTGCTGACGTTTTTTGTGACGATACGGTTTGATCGATTATTCTAATATCAATACTTTTCATTTGTTAAAGAAATTCGCAAAAATGTCATCACTTCAAGAGGGTTGTTGAAGATGAATATTCATTATTCTATTTGTGAACGTCGTTATCATTCTAATCACTGCTTCCATTCATAACAACAACAAGATCAGTGATCGGTCAGCTGGAAACTAAAACAGACAGCGACATATTCATTTTCACGCCTCTGTTGAATGACTCTACCTATTGATATTCATATTAGTCGTGGTGGGGCGATGAATTGAATGAATTCATGACTTGTTTATTGTTTTTCGAGCAGAAACGTTGGTAATTGGCTGATAATGTTCGTGGTAATGTTGTGTCGTTTACTGGGACGACCATCGTATCGCAACACCAATAATAATGATAATCGTCTACATCATCATTATCAGTCCAACAACGAAAACAGCGATAGTAGTGACTGTTGGTCTGATTCCACTGGTAGTGACAGCATAAAGAAGAGCGATGAACAAAACGAAGCATGCAGAAACAAGGTGGATAGAGTTGTGCAGCTATGTTCTCAGAAATGTGATGTATCGTTATTGCTTGAAAATGCAGACGAAATGAACGTTGAAGAAGTGCAAACAGTAGTTGTTAATGCTAATCCGACGATACTTAAAGAAACGATGAAAATTGATACATCGTTACTGCAAAATGATATCATCAATAATAACAATGCAAATAATAACGATAACAACAACTATATGAGTAGTGATATTCTGTCAGTTCAAACGCACTCTCCTATATCGTATCTCACTACATCACCTTCACCATCGCACATATCGCAACTCTCCTATTCACCATCGCATTCCTCTCCGGAAGACGTGATCACAGGTGACGAACGGCTATCGTCGTCATATTATGCGACACCAATTGGTTCATTTCATGAATCATTGGATAATGCGATTTTATTCGATAATAGTGATAATGGTAGTGATAAAGATAATGATCATATGAGTAGTGATGAAGGTGAGGAAGGAGATGATGAATCCTATTCACCGAGTGTTTATGCATCAAATGAGTCATTCACGTCTTCGGAAAGCGACACTGCTACGACGCCATCGGAAGGTGATGATGATGATATTGATGTGGAATGTGAGCATATTCTGTCATCAAATAGTCATCCGTCTGTTTCTGGTGTAGAATATTTTGTTGATGTGGACGATGGTGTCTGCTATCAACAGCAACGAGAACATTCTGTCGGTGATGCAGAAAACGACGAAGAATATTCGAATAATCTTTTGCGGGTTTATGATTTGAACAATGGTTCTGGTGTTATGGGTTATGAGGATGATATAAATGTGGAGGTCGGTAATGAGAATTATTGTGGTGATGAACGACTGATGCATCCAAAGCAGCGGCTGGATGACGTAATTCATGATGTTACAGTCGAACTCAGTCCAGAACAAATGTGCCTTGAACGGGTCTTTGAATGCAGTTATCACTCTGCGGTACATTTGAATGTTGTCCACAACACCTCAACATCGAGCCACTATCGTCATGAGTAAGTGTTTGATAAACATCCGAATAAGCACTATCACTAATGGAACATTTTGATATTATTATCAAAATTCAGTTACTTTGTTGAGAATTAATGAATTTTCACCTTATTGATTGTTAGTTTTTCTTCATTTTGATTGCTAATTTGAGAGTTCTCTGATTATTGCTTTTACCTGCACTTTCTTGTCTTCTGCTACTCCACTTACATTGTGCGTTGGTTGAGCAAACGCTCACGCAAGCAAACGAGAGAAAAGTGTATTGAGCACTGATTATGTGCTTCATTTAACTGGGTGATTTCTTTATTGTGATCATTCCTACAGAACACTAATGCAGTTGTTTTTTTGGTGCTTGAGCATAAAGAGTTCATTTGAATGTGTTGTGTAAGCTGCTATGATTGCATAGCAACAGTATTCGTTGGATATCTGTTTATAGAATGAGATTAGATTCAGCTCTTTTTGAGATGACTCGTTGGAGACGAACGGCTAAAACATACGAAAAATTTTTTTGATAAAGTGGAATGAATAAGTAGAATAAACCTACACAGCATTGAAATCATTCATATTGTTGCTGTTGCTGTGTGTCTGAGATTTTCTTCGCATCTTTTACATAATTGCAGTGTAATAGAGTGGGATGAGTGTTTATGTTCATAAGAACAAACAAAAAATTGATTTTTGACATACGAAAATGACGATGATATGGTACTGATGACAGTTTTATTGGCTATAATCATAATTATTTTTCTTCCTTCCGTGCACCCGTTTTCACTTCAATTGTATTCTTCATTCCACTCCTTTGCAAGCACTATTTTATCAGCAATCAATTGATCATTTCATCTGTTCTCACTGATTCATTATTTATTTATGCGTTGCTCTTGTTTCATGGATAGTGGTTAACAAGAATCGTTGTACTGAAACAATTTGTGCAGAATTCCCTAGAAGCTTGNTTGGCTAGACATATGCATTTATTCACTTTGCACGATACTAGTGCATCTTTAAAATGCACCCACCCGAGATACACAACCAGCTTTTGCATCGTCTGCTTGAAGTATCTTAGACCTAGGCGGATGAGACTGAAACTCACGCTTTGCATGCGATGTAGAGGTAGCTCGATATTAGATAAGTATTCCAATTGAATAGTCTGAGTGTAGAAATTGTTGCTGATGATGATGAACAGTCGTTCACTCACAAAGCATTTTCATTTGATAATGTTCATTATTTACACGATTACGTGTTATTTTATGTAATATCTATTGTCTGGAATGACTTCATAATAATTGTGGGACATTGATAGCATTCACTGATGTTATCGAGCATGAGCTGGGCTATGATTATACTCGCATGTGATTATCTATCTAATTGAGTATGATTGAGAAGAGGTCGATTCGTTTCGATTGTAGCATTATCCGCCTATCAGGTCGGTTTCGCATTGTGTGAGCGGAAAGGCTGATCACAAATTGAACGCAACCATTCGAGGAATTTTTGACGGTCTCTGCGATAACTAAGGCGCTTAGAGTATCCAAGCAGAAAAACCGAATGGTGTTGAATATGTTCTGAACATATACGTAGTGTTATCAGCGTTATTGAGACTAGGTCACGGTATGATTTGATTTTCGTTTAATTATTTACTTTTGTGAAATACATATAGCTAATCCAAGTTATTTACATTTGACATAAACAGGTTGACTATTGATAGCTGTTGACAAAACAATGCTGTGGTTAACGAGGACAAATTTATTGGTGAATATGAAGTGATGTTTGTAGTTGAAAAATTCGAATGCTATGTGTTCGAATGTTGTTTAACAAGTGATAATCAAATTTATTCGATTCATGTACGTAAATTTGTTTATGTATATGTGCAAATCCAAGTAGAATAGTGGATAGAAATAAGTTCAAGAAAGAAGAAAGATATACATAAGGATGCGAAGAACTTAAGAAAGAAAGAATTTTGATAACGAGTAAGTGGAAAGAGTTTGAGATGCGAATAAGAGGCAAATAAACGAAGTATTCGTCGATTTGACACTCTTTACGATTAGTATGAAGGTGATGTAGACGCAAATATTTATGTTGAACCTAGTGAAGTGTGGATGACTTTGACTGGAAATTTGAAATGAGAACCACAGTAAGTCACGCACTCTTTGCCACGTATTGTTCATCTATTCAGTTTTGATAGATAGGTAGATGAAATTTTAGAATGTCTAAGAAGACATATAAAGATGTGAATTATTATTATTATTGTTGTCATATTATTTTTGGTATCGTTGTTATCTTTTGTATGAATCAATTATTTTGCTCTCATGATGTTTGTATATACATGTTCATCTTTAAATTTGTGAATGTGTCTAACAGTCTATAATTTCTTTTGCCGAAAGGTATTTGCAATGTGGATAAGCAGCGATCCGAGATAAGGTGAAAAACTTTGATAGTGAAGGGAGAGGATAGGAAGAAATAAGCTCTATAGGACGTTTTATCTCATTAATTCTATATCCAACTTTGGAGCAATAATCATTCGACTGAAGCATAAAATAACGATAAATGAAGCGATGTACATTCATTTGTATATTCTGTGCAGTCATGAGCGAAGCATGCATAAATCATAATTAAACGAATGCAGGCAGAATTGATTTATTTCGAGAATTGTGTTATTGCTTGTAGTTCTTGCTTCATGATTACGTTAAAGGGAACACTTCGACGACGGAAGCAGCTCTGTGCTAGAGTTGATGTCCTAGTTTTCAATGTGTACTTAAAAGAAATGATTTTTCTGTTTCATTCTTTTTGACATTCCTTTTAAAAATTTTATTTTATAATGTCATCTTTCTTTACATATTTGCACAACTGATTTTCTTAATAAGAGTGGTGTTAGGTGACATAGATACAAGTATTCATATTTAACCTAGTGAACAGTGGATGACTTTGATTTGAAATATGAAAAAGGAACGAGAGTGAGTCACACACTCGCTGCTACATATTGTTCATTCTTTCAAAGTTTTGAGAGGTAGGCAGGTAAAATTCTAGAATGACTGAGAAGGCAAACTATTTAGTTGCATTTTGGTTGTTAATCTAATTCGATGATAATGTATTCGTTTCAGATCCTTATCGCAAACGAATGCAAAACAAACAAATAGCAGTGATGGCACAGATGGAGGAAGTAACAATGGTAAATTGAAGAAATCGAAAACGTCTGATAGCCATAATAGCGTTGGAAAAGGGATTATTGAAAGTGCTAATCGTCAGCAAGAAGGGATAGGGACTGAGTTGGGATCAAAACGGATTAGTACTAATACGATGGATGTGTGTAGCAGTAGCAACACGACTAATAAGAAGGTGACTAATGATAATAATAATAGTAAGATTCATGCAGCAAACACTAAATTATCAGCAAAAACAATCCCTAACGGTAGTATAAATAATACTGGAGTTGGCGTTATCACTCAATCATCTTCGAAAACGCCAAATAATACTGTTAGTTCATAATTTGTTCAATTACTCATTTAGTTGCTAATTTAATTTCGTTTTTTTTAATCATTAAAAGTTCAATGGATGATTAATATTGGTTGCTCACTACGTGCATGTGTCACGCAGTTGTTACTTGCTTATTCGTTTCTATTCTTCTCACTGATAAGAAACTGAACTTTATGTTATTGATTGAATGTTGGTTCGCTTTTTATCTGATAGTGAGTGGAACTGTCACTAGGTATTGATTGGAATTGACCACTTTATGGAATATTTACCTGTATTTTCGATTTCAGATAAATCGGGTCCCACCTCCAGCAACTGCTCAACAGCTTCAACAGTTGCAAATGCCCCAAATCCCTCCTCCGAAGAATGCGATGAAGTTGCCACCACCCTCAAATAACAATAGTGCAGCAATGTTACCGTTAGGATCGCCGAGTGTTGGCAGTGAGAGTGCATACGATGACGATGATATGGAACGTGAACAGGTATTATTATACCTTCTATTGGCATGGTCGGTTGCAATCAGTTGTTTATTATAATTGTTATTACGTGATGAATGTTGAGGAAGAGGTATTGGGAAGTGATGACGAGGAGCAAGAAGATCCAAAGGATTATCGAAAGGGTGGTTATCATCCAGTCGCAATTGGAGATGTCTTCAATGGACGGTATATATCTCTGTTATCTATTGGAGCCATTTGCACCTCACTGAAATTAATTCATATTTGTTTATTTCATAACAGTAATGATGATGGTGANATGGGTTATTTATATTCATGCTTGATAGACGACGTTTCATGTGTTTTCACTTCTTTACAATTGAGACGATTGAAAATGTGTGTGGTATGAAAAGTGAATGATTCGTTCATAAAAGTATTCGTGAAACATGAATCGTTTAAGAATGAAATTATGAAGGTGAACATTTCAGTTATTATTAGCCGTGCGCAGTGCGGACGAGGAGGATTCATTCCGCGAGCGTGTTGTGCAATTACTTGATGAATTTTCGGTGACTGGTGTGAATGGGACGCATATTTGTATGGTTTTTGAGGTTAGTCACTGGGATTTTCTCTTCTAGCGATTTCAATTTGAACTCAGGTTGGAACTTCTCAAGTCTATTCACCACGAACGATTTTTTGTATGGCTTTGAGTTGAAATTTTGAAAAGTTTCATCGAAATTCGGCATCAAGCTAGTATGGTCATCTTTCACTTTTGAAGAAATAGTGCTCAGAATTGTCGGTTCCTTCTTGATTTATGGGCCATTTTGCAAAGCGAATTTGCGGTTCGAGGTTTGTTTAGTTAATGTTTCAGTGGTTTGTTTGATTTCAGGTGCTGGGATGTAATTTATTGAAAATGATAATTCGAAGTAATTATCAAGGTCTCCCGCTGGAGCATGTTCGAACGATAACAAAGCAGGTGCTTGAAGGATTACAGTATTTGCATGAAAAGGCGCATATTATTCATACGGATATTAAACCTGAGAACGTTCTTGTCACGTTATCGCATGAACAAGTGAAACAGGCTCGTTTTATTTGAATGTTTTCTGCATTTAAAGCGTTCTTCCATATCGTCGTTATCATTTCATTATTTTGAAATCGGATAGATTTTACAAGAGTTATATGGAAAGCGTATTTTGCAGATAGCCGCAGAAGCGATGATAGCGGGTAAAATGGGCTTTAAAATGTCCGGTAGTGCTGTGAGCACAGCACCGTCACATATCGTCAAAAAGGTCAGTGGTTTCATTTGTTTCGTTGTCGTATTCAAAGCAGATCGGCGTTCATTTGTTTTGGAACGATGAGGATGAATGGTGACGTGTTTCGAATGACAGAGAACATTACGGGAATGAACATTTTGTTATCAAATGATACGTTTAGATAGATTAGAATCATTGGTTACAGTGGGTTAACATGAGGTATCGAGTAAATTGATTTGATTGCGATGTTAAGTTGGTGATGAAATTTCAGGTGGAAGAGGCGATGTCAAAGAATAAAAAGAAGAAATTGAAGAAGAAACGAAAGAAGCAACGAGAATTGTTGGAGCAACAATTGAGTGAGATGGAGGGTTTAGCGGTTGATGTGCAGTCGTTGAATGGCGTTTTATCATCACCAACATCGATTAATTCATTTCCAGGAGATCGATACAGGGTTTGTTTAATTGTTTTGTTGTTTGCGAGTTATTTTCATTGGAGCTCATAATGACAATAGCATTTCAGCAGTCAGGAGCAACTCAGCAGCAATTGCTAGCATCGAACAGATATTCGGTACCGCAGTTGATGAGTAATGCAGGTACGAACGGCACGATGAGTGCGCGTTTGAATGGGGCCGAGTTCGATTTTGAGCAGGACGCTGAGGGCACAATGGGAAGTGGTAGTGGTGGTGCAAGTAAAACGTTGATGCGCACACAGAGTGCGAGAACGGCGAATGCTGCTGACACGAATAATATTGTCACTTCGGAGATTACGGCTGATTTGAAAGCCAATTTCAGCAATGAGAAACAGCAACAACAACAGCAGCAGCAGCATTCTCTTTGTAATCCAACATATAACACGGTTGAGGATCAAACGGTACAAATGGTTATCTTTATTTGTGATTTGTTTATGTACATTGCCTGTATTTGTGTTCGTGTATGTGTCATTTGGGATTGCTTTTTTTAGTTTTTGCCATATAATGTCAGGTCATGACTGTTTGTTTATTTGTTTGTTGTTTTTTTTTTTTGATCATTCGTGTTGCATATTAACAAGATCGTTTTTGTTAGAGCAGAGCAATGCTGTTGATGTTGTGGAGAGACGAATATTACGGTTTAGTTGATACGTTATTTGATTGTTGCAGGATGATGACTTGAGACCGACAGCGGCAAAACTTAAAGAATTGGGTCTTGAGGTATGCAAGAATGGGAGAGGGAGGACGTTTAGATTTTTGTTCTTTTGAAATAAGAAATCATTGAGTGTTTAGTTTACACGATATGATGTGGTTTTTGTTCACAATGAATTTTAGATGCAACTGAATGGTTGGACTGAAGTCAGTGAACGTTTCTGGATTATCATAGGGACATTGAAGAAATTTTCAATAAAGATTCTATGATTTTAGGGATCAAAATCGGACGGAAAGCAGAAAATGAACGATGGAGAGCAAATCGAAAGGCTGTCTATATCACCACTAAGCGAGAACGACAACCTACAAAATGCTGCAAGTAGCGATATTGATGAGATGGGTATGCTCTTTAGAGTTGTTGCAAATAGCAGAAGTGATAATTAAAGTAATAAGGAGTATAATTGAGGGTGAACTGTTTCAGGAAGGCCGCGTTTTCTTCCTCGAATCGAGTCAGAAACACGTTCAGATGATGAACAGGAGCAGTTTGACGATATGAACGCTACAGGTGGTGGGGTTAAGTTCTCAATAGACAACAATTCTTCGTATCAAGGCAGTGGTCCGAACCTACCTTTTAAACGAATTGAACCGGATTACTTGAATCCTGATACCATAATCAACGTGAAAATTGCTGATTTGGGAAATGCTTGCTGGACGGTGAGGAGAATTTTGTGTTGTTTTATTTCATTTTATTAACTAAATGGTGCATGATGCTAATGCAAATTATATTAATTGATAGTGTGAGTGATAAGCGTATAGATGACACTTGTTCATTTGCAATATCGATAACAATTCAAATTTCAGCATCATCACTTCACAGAAGATATTCAAACACGTCAGTATCGAAGTTTAGAGGTTTTAATCGGTGCCGGTTATGGGCCACCAGCTGATATTTGGAGTACTGCATGTATGGTATGTATCGTAGTGTTGTTATTGTCACAAAAATCTACAAATACAAATACTAACACAAATTTTTTGAAATAATTTTAGGCATTTGAATTAGCGACAGGTGATTATTTGTTTGAGCCACACAGTGGTGATACGTACTCACGAGATGAGGATCATTTAGCGCATATAATTGAATTATTGGGACCAATACCACCGAATGTTTTCAAAAAGGGTGCACATTGGAGAGAATTCTTTCAAAAGGTTGGTTGTTCTATGAGTTATCTTTTAAAGATTCATTCGGACGAATGAGTGGAATATTTGTAGATGTCAGTTGTTTCATCGCATAAAGATGCGATTGAATAAATAAGCAAATGAAAGATCTTGATATATTCTATAAAGATATGAAGAACATGTTGTTTAGAATGGACGTTTACTGCACATTACCCAATTGAAACCATGGTCTCTGGTTGAAGTGTTAACGCAGAAGTATGATTGGCCCATTGAAAGCGCTGGTCAGTTTGCCTCATTCCTCATACCAATGCTTGCGTTCGATCAAAACGAACGTGCCACTGCGCGTCAATCGCTTAAACACGATTGGCTGAAGCCGAATGGTGGAAAACCGAAAATTAAACCGAATAAAGCCAAGAAAACAGTTTACAACAACAGTCATAATTTGAATACAATGCATTCGACGTTGAAACATAGTAATACTCAGGTCAGTTCTTGTTTAATGTCGACTGTTATTTATGGTTCATGAATGATGGAAAAATTATTGAACTGAATCGTTGAAGTGTTGAGTGATTTAACGAAGTACGATTCGTCATCACTTATTAATTTTCACTGAAATTTTGTTTTGTTTATTTCTGTCATTAGTTTTCTCTTCATTAGAGCACTTTTTATTAAGAACAAATGATATAGGTGAATGCGGTTGATAATTTATTGGACTGAGTAAAATTAGATTGTTTAAGGATGACGATTCATCAGAAGAGTGTATTCTTGATAGTGATTGCATTGATGAGGAAGATGAGGATAATATCAGTGATGCTGAACGTGATCAACGCAAAGGCAAAGGAAATGAGTTTATTATTAGCAGTGGTATTGCTCGTACGGCTCCCGTTTCATCATCTCAAATAAATGAATCTCAACGACGGTCATTGAACGATCGCGAAGTGTAATGTGTGATAATAGTAATGATAATAATGATGGTCATTGTTACAACGATAATGATACTTTTGTTTCGGTATTGATAGTGTTCGGTTAATGAGTCGGTTTCGATGATCACTCGCAGTCAGCTTACAATAATTGTTTCNTCTCATCAGTTCATTGTATTCGTCGCATTTTTTTTTTCAAATAATTCCTTCTCGTTCTAAGCAATGAATGCAGTTCACACCACAAAAAACTGTTTGTTGATTCAGCTGTCTTGATGAGTTGTGCTTTCAGAGTTGTGTTTCAATTACTTAAGATGCATTTTGTTTGTCTAGTTGGAGATTTTCGGTGTTTGAATGAAGAAAGTGAATTGAAGTTTGACGTGTTTTCATTACAATGTAGATAGGTATTTCATGCATATTCGTTGGTATGTGTTTGGGATTCACTTTGTTGTTTGAAAGGGTTATTTCATGGAAAGATGAGGAGATTTCTCACGTTTCGGCTGCGAGAAAGCATCTCAGTTATTGTCTTTTAAAGCGTTCAGAATTTTTGTGATTGTATTGATGAGTATGGTTGTTGAATTGGTACTGAATATTATAAGTTGTGACCCGTAGAGTGTTTGAGACTATCGAAATTTTGATACTTGATGTCGAGTGTTTTAATTTGATTATGTATATGCACTCTGTTTTGTTTCATATCGTTATCTTCTTCTTGAGATATGCTCTAATACATGTATGTATACATATAATCATTTTTGTCACCCTCAATTCTTGTTTAATTTCGTTTCTTTATCAGTTTTCAGTGATAACTGCATATTAGAAAGATAGCGTCTTATTAATTAAGTTGTAGTCACAAGCAGTTCAATTTTCTGCTGCATTCAATAAGTGAATAAATAATAACTTGAATGTTTTATGATTATCGGTAAATTTGATATTCTGATGATACATTAAATGGTGTATCATTACCATGAAATGTTGCCTATTATCGACTTATGTAATTATGAAATTATTT